TGTGACTGGGCAGTGAGTTCCTAGTGACCAAGGGGTCACTTCTGGGACTGTGTTCCTGGGCTCCTCCTGTTAATTACATTCCCTAATTATGTCACTGTTAGTGGAGAAGGTGTTCATGTTAGTTTCCCATTTGTATTTTTGGTTTTTGTATCATACCCAGCTGCAGTGGTCTATTCTGTTGCCTGTTGGCTTTTTCAGATTTGATGTAACATTTCCAAACACAATGTTCCATTTTTTTAAAATGCTGGGGCTCCTGGGTGGCTCAGTCGGTTGGGCGGCTGACTGCAGCTCAGGTCATGATCTCTTGGTTTGTGAGTTTGAGCCCCGCATCGGGCTCCGTGCTGACAGCTTGGAGCCTGGAGCCTGCTTCAAATTCTGTGACTCCTCTGTCTCTGCCCCTTCCCCATTTGCGCTCTGTCTCTGTCTTTCAAAAATGAATAAATGTTAAAAAAAAAAAAAAATGCTGACAGCTGCCTGGGTGGCTCAGTCAGTTGAACATCCAAGTTTGGCTCAGGTCATGATCTCACGGTTTATGGGTTCGAGCCCCACGTCGGGCTCCATGCTGACAGCTCGGAGCCTGGAGCCTCTTCAGATTCTGTGTCTCCCTCTCTGCCCTTCCCCTGTTTGTTCTCCCTCCCTCCCTCCCTCCCTTCCTCCCTATCTCTCTCTCTATCTTTCTCTCTCTCTCTCAGGAAATAAAATAAACGTTGGGGAAAAAACTTCCCACTTTTCCCCTCACCCCGCCAGCCCCAGAATGCATCTGTTTCTGTTGTGGGAGGAAGAGCATCTAGACAAACGGAGATTTGGCCTTTGGTGGACTCAACCTTTATAAATCCTGTTCACGTGAATAGAACAATAAACAACATAGTGGAACGGCCTTTGTGGTCGAGAAGGAAGGACTGAATAATCAACCTTTCTTTCCTCATTGTCTCTGAAATCAGACTCTCGGTGCTGTTCGTAGGAGTGTCCCTTCCTGTTGTCAGCCTTAGTATGTTCTGCTGTACCTCAGTTACGTCAGGGCATGAACATTCTATTAGTTCACCCATTGGTCGTGAGTACTACAGATCCAGAAAGGCGTCAGGATGCTGTGGAATCTCAGCAGTTTCCCATAAGGTTACTTCCCAAGCCAGTTCGGTTTGCATCTAATTCCATAAATGCAGCCCTCTGGAGGGGAGCACCCACAGGGGTGATTTTAAACACCGAAAGCGAGGGGCGCCTGGGTGGCGCAGTCGGTTAAGCGTCCGACTTCAGCCAGGTCACGATCTCGCGGTCCGTGAGTTCGAGCCCCGCGTCGTGCTCTGGGCTGATGGCTCGGAGCCTGGAGCCTGTTTCCGATTCTGTGTCTCCCTCTCTCTCTGCCCCTCCCCCATTCATGCTCTGTCTCTCTCTGTCCCAAAAATAAATAAACGTTGAAAAAAAAAAAATTTAAACACCGAAAGCGGGAGTGTCGAGAGAGCAGGTGCTTCCTCGTATTACAGGGTCAGTCCCACCCCGCACGGTGTGCGCCCACGTGCGCGGAAACTGCACATGCGCGTTGCTGTCCCATTTCACACGGGCCCGGTGCCGAGAGAAGATTCACTCACTTTCAACACGTGAGAAAACCGAGGCGTGGGCAGGTTTTTCCATGTGCAGGGCCTGCTTCTGAGTCAGAAGGCAGCCTTGCCAGCCTGTCTGCGTAGTCTGATCCTGGCTGGGTCCGCACCTCGGGGCTCACACTCACTCGGTGCGTGAGAATTGCATCTGGTCCACATCTTCCCGTGCGTTTTTGTGGCACGAGGACGATGAAGACCGCCTCGCGTGGTGCTCAGACCGAACCCCGTCCAGACACGCAGACGTCAGCACACGGCGCTCCGCTCCCTTGACCCTGCAGCTTTTGTGCAAAGAGGTTTTGAAACCCAAGAACAATGCGAGGTGGCCTGCCGCTTGCCTTCTGCTCTTCTCCAGACATTCGTTTTAGTACATTTAGCCTTTTCTAGAGACGAGCATTGAATTAAAGGAGTGTCACGTGGTAGGAAAGGTGAGTGGAAGTTACGGCGTGAGATTTTTTTGTCTTGTGGAAGAAAGAACTTATGCCAATTAGGGGCGCCTGGGTGGCGCAGTCGGTTAAGCGTCCGACTTCAGCCAGGTCACGATCTCGCGGTCCGTGAGTTCGAGCCCCGCGTCAGGCTCTGGGCTGATGGCTCAGAGCCTGGAGCCTGTTTCCGATTCTGTGTCTCCCTCTCTCTCTGCCCCTCCCCCGTTCATGCTCTGTCTCTCTCTGTCCCAAAAATAAAATTAAAAACGTTGAAAAAAAAAATTAAAAAAAAAAAAAAAAAAAAGAACTTATGCCAATTAGAGTTGGCCACTAATAAAACTTCCCGGATCGGGGATGGTTGTGCTTCAGGGATACTGAAATGAGGACGTCTGCGTTAAAAGCAAGTTGGTCCAGCAGCCCCGCAGACTCCTGACTCCACGTCTGGGATTTGGTGACACAGTGCGCCTGGCTTCACCCGGGAACGCAGTCCTTAGCTTCACTTCCGGTAGAATAGAGCCAGTTGACTAAGAATCTAACTAGCCAGGTGTGTCCGTCGGAGGTCGATCAGAGAAACTACCAGTAGGATAGAGAACCTGAGAGACGGATTTCCAGGACCTCCCTCGGGCAGGAGCTGATGCTGCCCCCCAGGGGGTTTCTTCTTCCCCAGGAAAACCCAAAGCTCCGCTCCTCAGGCTTGCCGGCCGAGTGGATGAGGCCCCCCGTGTCCTCGAGGGTGATCTGTGCTCAGTCTGAGACTGTAGATGTTGGCCGCAGTTACCTTCCCGGTGACGCCCAGATTAGTGTTCGATGATGGGGGGAGTGGGGGGGCTCCCACCCTGGCTGTGGTCCGTCAGGCCCTGCTCTCCTGGCCCTGGTTAGTCTCTCTGGGGGCTGGCCGCTGAGGAACGTGAAGGGGGCCTGGCTGGGCCCGAGCGGCTCCCCTGTACCCGCATGGCAGTCCCATCCCGTGTGGGACTCAGGCTTCTCCGGCGAGTCTCCAAGGGAGGCAGGCACATCGCGTGTCCCCCGACTTCTTGGCCACCCGGGGACACCACGTGGCCTCTGCCCTCCTGTGCGCAGCCTGCGGCTCTCCCCCGCCTCGCTCTCTTCAAGCGTCCCCAGTCTCTGGGTGACTGTGGGAGCCCCCAGCCATTTGGCTTTGAGGGAGAGCGTAGAAAACCCAGCTCATGAATGCCACACTCCCTTACGGGCCCCAGATCCCAACTGACTCTACTCTGCACGCTTCCCTAGCCCGGGAAGGAAGGGGCAAAAGGCTGGGGGTCCCAGGGCCGGTCTGCTGCCCTCTGCAAGCCCCAGGGGAGCGGGACCCACCGGGGTGTGGCCTTCCCTTGGTGTGGGAGTCCCTCGAGTCTGCCTGCTCGCTTCTGTGGGCTTCGGGGTCAGCATGCTGGAAGAGTCCCTCACTGCCCCGTCCCCTGGGGGCCGGTGACGGGGGACATGCCCCGTCCACCTGGCAGCACCTGTCACAGCCTCTGTTCCTTAGTCCCCTGTTGTTTGGGAGGTCTCTTCAGGACCCTGTCCCCAGGTTCCCAGGTTTACTTTCTACTTACATTTTAGGAGTATTTTCTCTTTTTTTACTAAGGGGTTTTTTTTTTACTTGTTTCTGGATTTCCAACCATTTTTTTGTTCCTTCCACTCCTGCACCGTCTCAGCCCCATTGCTCTGATTCTTTGCACCTACTCCTCGTCTCAGACAACAGAGACAACAAACATTTCATGCTCGGGGCTTTTGTAGCTGATGGCTTGAAGAGGGGGTGTTTTCCTTCACGAAACATGATGTTAAGGCTCAGAGTTCAGGGTCAGTACAGTAAAGACGGGAGGAAGCACAGCGGATGACCTGGGGTTTTAGCTCCGTCTCCCTGAGACTGGATGCCTGGACGGCAAGCTTGCCCTGGACTGTCCACAAGGACGTCCTGCACGCCGTCATGGAGCTGGGTCTTAACCTTGTGTGGCCGGTGTTTGGATTTTGTGCTTTGAGGGGTGGGGAGGGGCAGAGGTCTTGCTCTGCTCGTCTGTGAGAGCCAGTCACCGGAGCCCAGTTCTGTAACCGGCATATGGCGGGTTCAGAGATTCCGTAAGGTAACTAATCGTATCTAAATTACTATAAAGAAAGAGTGGGTTATAAATCGATGATACAGAAAAACCAAACATTTTATGTCACCGATTTGTCCGTGTATGTTGTGCTTAATTTAGAGATTAACCATGTGGGCATTAAAGTGTACCTGTGCTCCAGAGAATTCTAGACTTCATGTAGAAACGTCTGTCGTAAAACACTGACTTTTATGAAGCTGGAAATAAACGGAGCGGGGGTGGGAGTCCGTGGTAAAGGACAATATAAAGAAAAACAGGCAGCGAGTTGCATGAGGGGTTCATTCAAAGTCCAGAGAAATCTCTTCTCAAGTCATTTCTTGGTGAGTCCACGCAGAGTAAGATCATGACCGTAGAGTAAGATCATGACCGTGTAGCCCGGGGCCCTCTGCTGGCTGTCCTCTGTGGCTCGCAGGGGCCCCCTGGGGCAGGCTCACACGAGGGGCCGGCGCTCCATTGCCGGTCGTTCAGTCTCCGCTGTTGCCTTCGTAATCTCACCCTTCCTTCCCAGCTCGATGCCTGCCTCCTCGCTTTGCACCCACGGTGGAGACCTTGACCTCCCCACTGCCCACCGGCACCGGTTGGTGGTAGCCGCCCGTGAGTTTGGCGGCTCAGAGTGAGGCAGGAGTCTCGGGGTGGCCACCTGTCCACGGCCACGTTTCCTGCCGCAGTTTTGACCCAAAGTCTCGTTGGGGATCCACACTGCTTCTCGATCTTGAGAATAAGGACGAGCCCAACGACCACCGGAAGCAGCAATTGTTAGAATTAAATATTTTTCTGTAAATGTTTTTTTAATGTTTTCTGTAAACGTTCTTTCAACTGTTATCTGTAAATATTTTTAATGCCCTGGTTATAATTCTAGAATATGTGGATTTCAGTTTGCAGTTAACATGTTTCGAACGTTACCACCTTCCTCCAATCCTACGGGAGCAGAATTTGACCCCGAGGAGGACGAGCCGACGTTAGAGGCGGCCTGGCCTCATCTACAGGTACTGAACTCTGGGAGCGCCCCCGAAACCGGGGCAGGAGTTGAATGTGTGTGTCTGTGAGGTTTTCCTCTAAAGCAGGTGCACTGGCCCTAAGGCCTCACCCCAGCTGGTGGCAGGTGCCCCTGTGATTTGTAAACCTGTGCATACAAGGAAGGCATTTCAGCAGAAGTGAGAACATCGAATGGCGTTTTTGTTTGTTTGAACACTTTACCCCAACTACAAAGATACGGAGTTGTCTGTATGTCTGCAGTGGAAATGACTGCTTGGTTGATAGCCATGGAATTGAAGCCCTTTGCAGACACTTCTTGTTCACGGTACCTAGATTCAGCGCACCCCAGAGCTCACCCGCTGACTGACACCTTTTTCTAACACATTTGTAAAGGCAGAAAGTTGGTCGTTGATGAGGCTGGACGCCTGAGAAGGCACGGAGCCCAGCACGAGCAGAGTATGTGCAGGCCGTGTGCCAGGTCAGGGTCTGGGTCGTCCGCAGGAAGGGAGACGGAAAGGGGGAAGCTGGGAACGAGCTAGATGGGGAACAGATCACAAAGGGGGGCTGTCTCGGTGGCAGAACATCCCGCCAAGGCAGGTGGGATTGCTGTGTAACCACAACAGCAGGCAACCCCTCTGATGCAGGGGAGGGACCTCCCAGCGGTGGGTGACTGCGTCTGGGACCCGCTCGCCAAGCCGTCCCAGCTTCCAGTCCGTCCGGCTCTGCCCAGGACACGTGTAGGTGGCAGGATGTAGATCCCACCGGCTGTGGCTGCTACGCACTGTGGTCTCTGACCAGCGTCGGTTAAGCATTGGCGACATCGGCCATGGGTACCATTTTGCTTAAATGCCACTTAAGGGTATAGTCTGTGGTTCTTAGCTAAATAAAATAATTATTGTCGTCAGTTATAACTTGATTAAGCCATGTAATTTGGCATTAATTCTGTAGATAATGTGGCTTTATTTTTTAAGGCTAATATTTTCAGGCAGATATTCAACTCATGGGTGTCTTTGATCTCTATCTCATAAAATACCATGTTATTTGATACATTGTTGTTGTTTTTTTCCTTCTAGCTTGTTTATGAATTTTTCTTAAGATTTTTAGAGTCTCCAGATTTCCAACCTAATATAGCGAAGAAATATATTGATCAGAAATTTGTATTGCAGGTAGGTACAAATTAGCTGAAACTACAAAAGCCGTAATCTACCGAGCGGGAATCCTGAGTCACTAAGTGTCTTTTTCTTCTTGAAGCTTTTAGAGCTCTTTGACAGTGAAGATCCTCGAGAGAGAGACTTTCTTAAAACTACCCTTCACAGAATCTATGGAAAATTCTTAGGCTTAAGAGCTTACATCAGAAAACAGATAAATAATATATTTTATAGGTAAGTCGACGTGTGGGTAATAGCTCTCTTTTTGCATGATGATGCTCGCATCCACACCTAATGCTCCCCTCACCCCATCCTTCCGTTTGGCAGGTGACTGGGGAATGGGGGCGGCCTCCCTTCCCCCCCCCACCCCTGGGGGGGGCCCACCCCTCCTTCTCTGCCTGCTCCCCTCCCTCACCCACCCCCAGCACCTCCCCACTCGGCCTTCCTGTGTTTCTGTTTCCACTTACCTGGGTGCGGGTCCGTCCGGAACCTGTCCAGAGCCAACGGTCCGTCCTTCTGCCTGTGTGTTACTCCACCCTCCCCGTGCATCTCGGAGAGGCAGGAGTGAGGAGTAAAAGCAGGGATCCTTAGGAACTCCTAAGATGGAGAATTGTACCAGAGGCCTGGGGACCCGCGTGTACCCGGGGCAGGAGAGGCCCTGCTGGCCACGGCAGGTGCAGGTGGGCCCGGCCGTCCCTAGGCCTACACGACCACAGAGGCTACCCTGCCTGGGTTTACCTGGGGGAGGGCACAGCCCCGAGGCTCTTGAAAGAATGTTCCATGACATTGCAAGTCCCACCCCCACCCTGGCCCCCGCCTCTCGTTGGTTCTTACCGTCTGAACACCCCTCCACCTGCCTGCCGACATCCCCGTGTTTCTGCTGCTGCCTGAGCCACACGGGCCACTGGTGATTGGGCATGAGCCCCGGGCGAGGCCCGTGTGCGTCCAGGCCGCCCTTCCATCCTCCTCATTTGTGTCTCTGCTCACCTCCGGCTCCTTCCACACTAGCGCCTCGGCGGCCTTTGTTGACCCTCCTGGAACATTCTTTCCACCTGCCCTTCTCCACAGCCTCCCAAGCCTCCGGACACAGCCCCCCACCAGGACGCAGCCCCTGGCTTGGCCGACAGGCCTCCCCATAGGCAGGGAGTGTGTGGGCCGAACACCGCACGTTCTCAGGGCCAGCTTCACGCCCGGCCCGTGGTGGCATCAGATGAGTGTTGATGGATGAGAGAGTTAATGTGGTTTCTTACCCATCCCTGGAAAGATTACCGAATGAGTGGTGTATTCTAAGACTTTGGGCATCCCTGACTCCAGGACGGGTCTCAGTGGTGACAAATCCTAGCGGTGACAGGCTCCGTGGGCAGGCCCCTCTGTGAGGTAAGAAAGCAGGCAGGTTTCACACAGTCTGGCCACAGTGCCAGAGTGAAGGTGACGTACAGGCCCTTGCCCGGAGCGCCACAGAGGACGGCGGGTCCCTTCTTAGACACCATGACCCAGCAAGGGAGAAGGAGAGGGGCCCTGAGACACATGGAGACACTGGATGTGGGAAGTGAGATCCCACCATGGAGACCAGCAGCCTCTGGGGATTCCAGGGCCCATCCCTGTCCCGTGCCCAGCCCGGCCCTGGTGTGCCCCCACCCCACCCTCCCGTGGTCACCGGGGTCTGCGGCTGTCTCTTCACACTTGATAGGACAGTCCGGTGTCAGAGCTCCCGGTGTGCGTGATCTTCCTTTGAGCTCCTTCCAAGGTCCCTACATCCCAGGACCGGCACCGACTGCGGTCAGAGAATGCCATCGCGATTCCTAAATGTCACGTTCCCAGCTCACGTTTCTTGGCATCATGCTTCCTCTCGAACAGGATCATTATGTGGCTGATGTACTTATCTGTCAAGATGTTATGTACATCGTTTAAACAACGAAGAACAGGGACAGTTTAAATTCTGATCTTTTAGGCCTAAAATTAAAGGTCCACCTAAAGTGAGGTTTTTTCTTTAAAACAGGTTTTGTTCAGATAGCAGAATCACAAATCAACACTTGTGTTAAAAGGTCTCATACCACGGGGCACCTGGGTGGCTCGGTCGGTTGGGCGTCCGACTTCGGCTCGGGTCACAATCTCACGGTTTGTGGGTTCAGGCCCCACGTCGGGGTCTGTGCTGACTGCTCGGAGCCTGGAGTGTGCTTCAGATGCTGCATCTCCTTCTCCCTCTGCCCCTCCCCCACTTGTGCTCTGTCTCTCTCTCTCTCTCTCTCTCTCTCTCAAAAATAAATAAATGTAAAAAAAAAGTTTTTTTTAAAAAAGGTCTCATACCTTAAAGAACCTCAATATAATAAATAAAATATTTAAATAGATTACTATTCCAAAGTTATTGCACAAAATTCAATTCTGAGTGCTCTGTGCTAGAGTGTGGCACTTTTGTGTTTCAGCTGTCTTCTCTGTAACTATCATTTTTTTTTTTTAATTTGTTTATTCTCACAGTTCTGTAATCGGAACTGGGCCCCGTGGGCAGGTCTGGTGCTGCACACGGCCTGCGGTGGGCTGGCCAGTCCTGGTGGCTCGGGGCAGGGCTGCAGCCGGCCTCCAGGAGGGAAGAAGCCTCTGCGAGGCTCGGCCAGGAAGTGAAGCACATTCACCCTGCCTTCTGTGTCGATCTGACCAACTCACAGGACGACAGATGCACAGAGAGGGGGACAGGTCCCACCTGTTCATGTGCGGCTCAGAGCACGTCCTGCAGGGGGGACGTTCCGTTTCGGAGGCGGTCTCTGATAAGCAGGTTCTGGCTCAGCTTCTAGAGAGTCCTGATTCCTTTTTAGTTGGACAAGTGAGAAACGCTGGCCTGTTCTGCATGCGTCTTTATGGCTCTCTTCCCATCTGCAACTTCCTCTCCTTCCTGTCTGGAAGAATAAGAGGGAGAATTGTACTAATTTTCTCGTTTTTATACCTCCTTCAGTTCAGGTTAAAATAGCAACGAAGGCTTTATCAGTAAGAATATAGTAATGTTGACTCAGGAGAACAAAACGGATTGTAGCTGAAGGCCGTCGGCCAGTGTGGCTGGATCCCGCGCGACTCTGAGGGTTCGGCCCCTCTTCCCAAGGCCCAGAGCCCAGCTCTGGGGTCTCTGGGCACCTCGTGCAGCCCACTGCTCCCCCAGCCCCCAGCTCGCCAACGAGGGCGCTCAGGTGACGTGGCTGCACTTCCTACAAAGCTACAACGTGGCACCTGTAAACCCAGAAAACAAGCAAAACACAAGGGAGCGTCCAGTCGAGTTCTGTAAATTAAAGTGCTTGTCCGTGGACATGCACCACGGAGGGCAGGACTCCCTGGGGACATCCTCCAGTCTCTAGGCAGGTGGGGGGAGGGAGGGGACATGAGGGACGTGTCCAGCAGCGGCTCGAACGCGTCACCTGCAATATGACCGCAGTGCCCGTTTCCTGCCACCCAGGTCGCCCCGGGCCATCTGGGTAAATCCCCACCTCACCTCGGTGCTGTGGCCACACTCGTGTCCGTGGCACCATGGTTCTCTGCTCAGGTGCCGCCGCCAGCCTGCGTGAGGCGCTCACCCCCACCGCCACATGAACCCCTTGCCCACCTGGGGCCCACCCCACTCCAGTTCCCAGACCCCCGCGCTCGCCCTGCCTTCCCTTCCACGCCGTTTAACCTCCCACAGGGCCCCGGTCAGGCCCCACAGCCTTGAAGAATCCTGGTCGTTCGAAAACGTAGAAATCTTCAGGCCCACCCTCTGGAAATCTCTCCCATCTTGTGGGTATCTGACCTGTTCTTTACCTTGACAGCCCCGTTCCACTTGTTTCCAACAAGGACGAGATTTCAGAGTCAGGTTTCTATAATCATCACAAACTCTTATTTTAGGCTTGGAGCTGCCTCTAAACTTCATTGTCGAGTGAGAGGCAGAAACCTTTCTCAGACACCACTCCTACCACACAGGCGCATGGCGAGGCGTGGGCAGGAGTGAGCTCCTGCCTTCTGGGGAAATCCTCTGGTGGTGGGGACACGTTGCCCTCCTTGGTGTCCCCAGCCTTTTACCGCACGTGTTCAGGCACAGGACAGATGCTCTAGCACCGGGGACATGGTGACAAAGAGTCCTCGCCTGTCCTCAGGCTGATGTGGGCACAGCAGGAGAGGCTTCTCAGAGGACGCAGATCAGCTGCCCACATCGGGGTTCCAGAAGGTGGCGCTTGGAGCAGCGTGGGGGCCGAGCAGGGTGTCTGTGAGGACATAGGTGAGAGGGCCCAGTGGGAAGGAAGGAGCTTCTGCCCTTGCACGGACTGGCCTAACTCTCAGAGGCTTTAAAATTGAGCAAGGCGTCAAGTCAGGCTGGCACGAAGCAAAGAAATCAGGCTAAGGTAAGGGACGGAGAGGGATGTACGCATGGTCAGGAGGACAGCAGTGGCTCATTGTCACACACGGGTGGCTGGAAGGCGAGTGCTCGCAGCACAGACCTTTCGACCTTTCTCTGTGATTGAAAACTCCCAAAATAAAATGTTGGGGGCGGAAATTGCACAGTCGCGTCGGGAAGGGTGAGCCGCCCCCAGGACAGTCTTCCAGGAGGCGTGCCTGCCACCAGGCATCTGTGTGACACTCCCCCCAAGTGCATCATTTCCTCGTTCAGAGGCTTGTGGTCTTTCCAGCTATTACCTCAGTGTCTCATTCTAAATGGCAAACTGCTTTTTCTAGGTTTATTTATGAAACAGAGCATCACAACGGCATAGCAGAATTACTGGAAATCCTGGGGAGGTGAGTGCTGTGCGCCTGGCAGTGACGTGGAATGTATTCCAGAATGATCCAGTTCACGGAGTCGAGAGCCCTCTCCAGAGCGAGGCAATTGAAACCATTTCCAAAGGAACCAAACCTCGCTTGATGGAAGGGGTGGGTGAGGTCTTGGGTTAGAGCCCCCCAGACAAGAAGCCTTCTTGTGTACACGGCTCCGTGCACAGATTCTGTTCCACATGCCTCCTTGAAGATGGCTAAGAGGGTTTATGTTTTGACATTTAGAACGGATCGTTTATTATACCTTGGGGGTATTGAGTAAATGCTAACATTTCTAATTGCTTTCATTTTATAAATTTTTCATATGTATACTTGTAACATTAATGTTTCAGAAATTTCACCGTCTTCGCCCAAGTAGAGTTCTTGCTTGCTACCATTTTTTTTTCATCAGTGACCTGTAGATTTTATATGAGACCTCCAACCCGCTGTTTCCCAAAGAGAGTGCCTTGGGGTTCCACAGCCAAATAAACTTGGAAGTGCCCTCCCGGCACCTTCCCTGGGGACTCAGCTGCATTAGCAGCTGAAGGTCCTGTGGGGAGGGGTCCTCTTCGCTGGTGTTTAATCTGATGATCCCCAAAGCCTTCGGGACACAAGAAACCTGTCTCAGGGAACACTGTCAGCTTCCAGTCGATCTGTGCTCCAGTCGCGCTGAGAAGACGGTGCTCGCTATTTTAGATCTAACTTGAAAAAACCATCAGTCCTTGTGGACAATTCTGCTTTGACCTGCGTCAGCACATTGGGCGGGTTTCTCTCGCTCAGGAGAGCGTAGCGAGCGGTCCAGGGGCCCTTCCTAGTTCCACTCTCGGCTGCCGTTTCCTTAGCAAGGTGGGGGATGATCCCCTCACGGGGCTGTCGCGAGGACGACACGCTGTGTGAGATGTCCAGCGCGGCCGGGCACGGCGTGTGCACGGGCCTCCACGCTCCCAGCAGCTGGGATCGCTGATTTTATCCCCCTGGAAGAGTTGTTTGGTCTTGTGGGCCTCCCCCATGTGAAGGAGCAGGTCGTCGCTAATGCCCTCTTCAGACGGACCCTGCCTCCTGGATGGCACGGGACAGTCTAGAACTCGCTTGACTGCTCTGTGGCCCTACCACGTGTCTGTGCTTCCCTAATAATAAAACCAGATAAATAGTAAGTAATGAAGCCTGCTTGCCCAACTGGGCACCAGTAGATAAGCTACTTGACATCAGAGACCAAAACTTCAGTTTATTTTTTTTTTAAGTTTATTTATTTTTGAGACAGAGAGAGACAGAGCACGAACGGGGGAGGGTCAGAGAGAGAGGGAGACACAGAATCGGAAGCAGGCTCCAGGCTCTGAGCCATCAGCCCAGAGCCCGACGCGGGGCTCGAACTCATGGACCGCGAGATCGTGACCTGAGCTGAAGTCGGACGCTTAACCGACTGAGCTACCCAGGCGCCCCCAAAACTTCAGTTTAAAGACTAGGATCAAGACCCCCTTTCTCTGCAGGAGGGAGCAGCTTTCTGGCTGATTCTTAACCAGCTCCCGTTCTGCACACAGACTCACTTCTGCCAGCATTAGGGTAATGAACCCGAATTTCTCGGGGGAAGTGTGACTTCCTAAAAGTGGGTGAAGGCCAAGGGAAGGTGCCAGCTGTGGAGCTGGAGTCCCACCTGAGCTGCCCGGCCTCCAGGCCTGTCGAAAGAAGCCAGTGTCGCCCCCAGGGACTCCTGTTCTGGGTAACGCCCCACAAACCAGAATTTTAGAATTATCTTCTAGTTACTAACAAAGATAAAAATGACTATGCTTCTTGGAAGGTATTTCATTTTCTTTTTAATTTCTGCTAATGTCTGCCTCTTTTGTGAAACGTACATTTCACTTACTGATAGTTGTGCTGAAAGTCAAGGCTTTTTTTTTTAACCTGGAATTTGTGAGTATTCAGACTTGGACTACATTCTGTTTTCGCAGCATAATTAATGGATTTGCCTTACCACTAAAAGAAGAGCACAAGATTTTCTTATTGAAGGTGTTGCTACCTTTGCACAAAGTGAAATCTCTGAGCGTCTACCATCCACAGGTAAGGGGTGCTCTGCAGCATTATGTCGGTGGGGGCGTGCACTAGCTGGGTGTCTCCATGTGAGCGGCAGTGAGCTCGGACACAGAACCCCAGCCGTTCCCTGGGGGTGCGCTCACGTCGCCTTGCAGATGTCGTTTCTGGTGATAATTGAAAGGATACAGGGGGGCGCCTGGGTGGCTCAATCGGTTGGGCGTCCGACTGCAGCTCAGGTCACGATCTCGCAGTTCATGCGTTCGAGTCCCGCATCGGGCTCTGTGCCGACAGCTCGGAGCCTGGAGCCTGCTTCGGGTTCTGTGTCTCAGTCTCTCTGTCCGTCCCCAGCTCATGCTCTGTCTCTCTCTCTCTCTCTCTCTGTCTCAAAAATAAACATTAAAAAATAAATCAATCAAATTTGGCTCCTTCAAGGAAAAATCTCTCTGCAGCCAGTGAAATGGCCTACGAAAATGTGAGTTTTTTAACTCAGCTGTGGGCTTTTTACAGTTTGCAGAAATCTACAGTTTTACTGAAAATTCGGTCAGTAAGTGTTGATACCCGGTTAGCTGGCCGCACTTTGCCAGAAGAGGAGGTTTTTCCTTCACTTTTGCCCCCGTGAATCCTGCGTAGACAAGTGCCGAGGGTCGGGGACAGGCCACGTGCCCATTCACCAGCAGCTCTGAGTGGCTCTGGCAGCCAGTGGGCACCTCTGTCCCTCACGTTGGGAGCGGCTTGGGATGAATCACAGAAAGCCTATTCTTGACTTGATCCTAATGACGTCGGCTTCCTGGGAAGTATTTTACTTTGAGGCATTTTTTTTCCTTCTCTTTGCTGTTAACTGGTGATAGTATCTTTATATCCAACCAGATCGTGGTCCTGTTGATTGTTTTTTTAATTAAGTTTATTTATTTTTGAGAGAGAGCAAGGGACAGTGAAGGAGGGGCAGAGAGAAAGAGAGAATCCCCAGCAGGCCCCACACTGTCAATGCAGAGCTGGACACGGGGCTTGAACTCACAAACCGTGAGATCATGACCAGAGCCTAAACCAAGAATCAGACACTCAGCCCACTGAGCCTCCCGGGCGCCCCCTGTTAACTGTTCTATAGAAGAGGGATTAACAGTTCAGAGGTTGAAGATGGAAGCAGATTTTAATTTGGTTTTTCCCAGCTCTTAGGTCACTTGTTCATTACAATCTCCAAAAAGACCAGGAGAAAAATCCCCATCAACCCCAGGCTTACCTGTTGGTGTTAGTCCAGAAGGCTGTCTCCTGATTTTTTTAGCTTTCTGCTGCACCTGGTCCCCGACAGTCCCCGTCAGAGCCCCGGCAGGGCTTGTGGCGGAGAGCCCGTGCCCGCCCGACGGGCGCCACCTGGAGGGACGGGGGCAGCACGTGGCAGCGGGAGACGCGGCATTGCTGGGTCACAGCACGGGGTTGACGCTTCCTCTCCTCCTTTCCAGCTGGCGTACTGCGTCGTGCAGTTCTTAGAGAAGGACAGCACCCTCACCGAACCGGTGAGTACCTTCCCCGGCCGGGCGGTGGCGTCACGTGTGGGCAGTGGCGTCACGTGCGGGCTTCCCTGAGTGTGGGTCCCGAGGTAGGTCCGCGGGCCACAGAGCCGTCCAGACCGCTTTTCACCTCGAGTCACACTGCCGACAGACGCACCGATTTCCTGCACATGCTGTGTGCTTTCAGACTGTCGTGATTTTACTTACAAGTTCCGTTACTGCGGCGATTATTGTACACGATTGGATTGCCGTCCTCTCTGTGCAGGGCTTGACTCCTTCGAACGTGACACGCTTGAGCGGTCGTGGTCGCTGGGTCGCGTGCCGGACTGTGTGAGATCTTGGTCTAACCACGCTGGTAACCGGCTTCAGTCAGACCACCCGCAGTGAGTTCTCGAAACGCTTGTGCCAAAGAGCCTTACGGCCTGAGAAGTTCCTTCTGCCTTCGAGGGTAGCGACTCCGTGTTCGCTGAGTCAACCGTGACAGGTTGCTGCCACTGAGCGTTCAGATCTCCCAATTTCTTGGCGTGTGATCTTTCTTAGAAATGAAAAGCAGTTGTGGCCCAGATTAACAAAGTTGAGTGTGTTGGGTGCCAGGCTAAGCATTTGAATGTGCTTTTTTTAACAGCTTTATCGAGATATAATTCACATGCCATACAATTCACCCACTTAAAGTGTACCATTCAGTGGCTTTTTGGTATATTACGCTATCGATTATTGTAATCGTGGTGAAGCATATACAACATGAAATTTGCCATTTTCAGTGCACGAGGGGCATGAGTTACATCCCAGGGCCACACAGCTGTCACCACTGTTCCAGAACTTTGTCATCACATTGCCCCAGACAGAAACTCTGTCCCCACCCCCACCCCACCCCCAGACACCGACTCCCGCTTCCCCCCTGCCCGCCCCCTGGTGACCTCTCACCTGCCTCTGTCTCTACAAGTTTGCCTCCGGGCACCTCAGATGGGTGGCATCGCGAAGGACGTCCTCAGGGCTCGTGCGGGCCGTGCCTGTGTCGGAACTCCATCCCCGGGTGTGGCCGTGCACTCTCCCTTTCTCCCTTGTGTGGTGTTCATCTGCTCCTCTATCTGTGGACGCTGGGCTTGCTTCCATCCCTTGTGATAATGCGAGCCGTGTGGCTGTGAACGTGGCCGTGCAGGTGTCTGTGCAAGTCCCTGCTCTCAGTCCCGCTGGGCGTGCAATTCAGAGTGGAATTGCCGGATCAGGCAGGAATCCCGTGTTTAGCCTTGTGAGGGGCCACCAGACTGTCCTCCGCAGTGGCCACATGGGGTTTCAGGGTCCCACTTTCTCCGTCATCACTTGTCCCTTCTTTTATTCTAGCACCTAGTGAGTGCATGGTGGTGTCTCTCGGTGGCTTTTTGACTTGCATTCCCCTCTTGACTGGAGACGTTGGGCATCTCTTCCAGCGCCTGTTGGCCACCCATGGGTCTCGGACAAACGTCTTTAGATCCACCGCCCATTTTTTATTAACTGGTTGTTTTTTATCATTGAGTAACAAAAGTAAGAAGTACTGAGTGCCAGTTTCAGTGTTTGAATATTCTTTTCAAAGTTACTGGTGGAATAAGAAAGGCAAATGTCATCATTCTGGCATCTTCTCTGTCCCCTTGGCCGTCTTTCACAGTGGTCCCATGAGGCTGTGTTTTATAGTGGAAATGCATGAGGAATCCGTAATGCTCTGTTTGCAAGTTACACGGGCTCCTGATCTCTGCTTTTTCTGAGCTTCTAAACTCCAAACGTAGACACCATGTGTCACCCACCAACTCAGGAAAAGCCCTTGACATCACCCCCCAACGCCTGCCCAGCTCCCCTTCCCGGGGCCCCCGCACGCCTCCGCCCCAGCTCTGAGATTCTGGAAGCCCCCAAGGAAAGGCACCAAACTTACCAGACTTCAGTGTCAAACCAGGAGAGTTTCCCCCACTTAGACTAGGGTATCCGCCTTGAGAGAAAACTTGGGAAGCACCAGGGATAAAGCCTCTTCTCCAGTGGTGCCCTGTGCTCAGTTCCTCTGAGTTTGAAGGACGTCTCCAAACTAAAGGGTGAGAACCAGGGGTGCCTGGGTGGCTTAGTCAGTTGAGCGTCCGACTTCAGCTCAGATCGTGGTCTCACAGTTGGTGAGTTCAAGCCCCGTGTCGGGCTCTGTGCTGACAGCATGGAGCCTGCTTCAGATTCGGTGTCTCCTTCTTTCTCTGCCCCTTCCCCTGTTTGTGCTCCCTCTCTTTCTCTGTCAAAAAAGAATAAACATTAAAAAAAATGAAGGGTGAGAACCGTTGCTGGAAAAAGTAATATGGGAACAGATTCTAACACATGCCTTTTCCTTTTCTGACTCTTCACTGTGTATGTTTCTCATACTCTTTGGGGGCTAAAGAATCCACCCTGTCTTGGCTGCGTTTACCCCACACCAGGCCTTTGGTGTGGCACCCCGGACCCCGGCCGGGTCCGTCGCAGCCCAGGTCCCAGTCCTGCTTCAGCAGGCCTCCGTTCTCCTGCGCCCGAGAGTAGGGTGAAGGCTGACAGGGCTCGTGTTTAGTTCCCACTGGTCGAGCTGGTAGAACCTCGCAGGAGTGAGAGCCCTCGACTGCAGCTGACGGACGGCGGGCTGGCTGCGACTGGGCCCTGACATCTCGGGCACAGAGAAGCTTCGGGCCCCCACACGCCCCACGATTGCCACCCAGCATCACTTCGTTCCTGGATTCCCAGCGCAGGCAACATAATGCTGTCTCTCGGCCACAGAAAGCAGATTTAGTTTTCTTCACGTTGAAAACATTCAGACCCTCGCCTTAGTGAGCGCCTTCCTTTGAAATTCACATATTATGAAAATACAAAGGCTGATCTGTCTTACTTCAGCACTGAAAGTTTGTTGGTAATAAAAAGAACGGGTAAACTCTTGTGAAGGAGCGGACACGGCACACACATGGGTCTCAGGGTCCTGGACCCAAGGCGCCCCTGAAGCTCGTGCGACCAAGGTCAGGAATGTTTAAAGTATGGTACGTTTAAAAGACCTGTGTTGCTCCCGTTTAAGGTCTGTAATTAATCTTTCTACTTGTAAACTGTGTATGGTGCTGAAAAGCTGCCTGGGCACGTTGAACACATACACTGTTGTAAGATCGGGAGCTCGGCAGATCGTGGACAGAAGTAAAATCATGTTTTCACGCACCTGTTGCTTTAGGCTACTCGACTTTTACTACAGGGTCTGGCGGGAACTCTTTTTCCCTGGTATTCAGGGGAGGGGGCTCCCCAGGCACCAGGCCAGAGCCACTAGCATGCACGCCCGGGCTCGCCTGCCCTCCCCAGCCCTGTCCGGAGAGCGGCAGCCTGTTGAGTTTCCGAAGGAAAGTTCGGCGCGTGACGTGCAGAGAGCCGCTTTTGCCTAGATCAGCTTCCCAGGCAGGCCCCTCTTCGCCAAAGCGCTGCCAAGCTCCAAAGCCACGGGTACCAGCCATAGGTTGTTCCCAGTAGTGTGAAAAGTAGGTCCAGCGTGGGGCTCTGATTCCAGAAACAGCACCTTTTCCAGAGACATTGAGTAGCTAAACCAGGTGTGTTCTGTGTCCCGTGTATCACTGTATTTTTCCTAATAAAGCTCCATTTGACAAACGTCAAGGAAGAGTGGCTTTGCGAAGTGAGTGACACCTGCTGTGTTCTTAACAGTGGCTCCCCGACTGCTGGTAGATAGCAGGTGCTCAGTAAATGTTCACTGAGTGATTTTGAGCAACAAGTAGGAGAAAAAAATCATTAAATCATCGATTTTTTTTTTTAAGAAAGTATTTTGAGAGATCATCATGCTATAAATGTTTAGATCAGACTTCAGAACTAGGAGGATTTTCTTATAAATTTGGGGGTTTTATAAAATGTAATACCATAAAAGATTACCCAGGAGCCTGAATGCCAAAAGCATTCTCAGAGCTGTCCTAGCCGGACGTTGTTCGAAGGCCCACCGTGTTTTTAGCCACGGCAGCGAGCAGCTGGCCTGCCGAGCTCTGCAGGGGTGTCTGTACAGCCAGTGGAAGCCACCAGCCGCCCCAGACGGGCTGACATTCGCAGTGATTTTCACAGCCGTCCTGATGCTAGGGGTTGAGACAGCGGTTCCCGAAATGGCCGTGACCGGCAAAGGGCTGCTTGAGAGTGACCGGTTGCTGTCGTACATGGGCAAGCGTGCACGTGTAATTGTGTGCAAATGTTGTGGGTCCTTGTACTATTTTAGAATTAAGGTGGCTCGCCTCTAGAAATATGTATTCTTTTTTTTTTTTTTTTAATTTTTTTTTCAACGTTTATTTATTTTTGGGACAGAGAGAGACAGAGCATGAACGGGGGAGGGGCAGAGAGAGAGGGAGACACAGAATCCGAAACAGGCTCCAGGCTCTGAGCCATCAGCCCAGAGCCTGACGCGGGGCTCGAACTCACGGACCGCAAGATCGTGACCTGGCTGAAGTCGGGCGCTTAACCGACTGCGCCACCCAGGCGCCCCTAGAAATACGTATTCTTAATCCTCACCAAGCCAAATCTGATATTTTGGGTGGACGATCTTTACTGGTGTGGTTGCAGGAGGAAATTTGGAAACTAAAGGAGGGAGGTGAAGAAAGGTTGCCCCACGGAAACTCCTTCTACCCGTCTGACTTGGGCAAGGAACACAAGGTCCAGTCCCCACAAACGAGGAAGCTGCCACCATCCGGATCAACGTGCCTCGAGGGGGCGGGCCGCACAGATGCTCCCTGGCGGGGTCCCATCTGAGGCCGCGCTGCCGTGCCGTCCGCGGGCCAGCGCTCAGATGCAAGGTCCTCGCGGCCCCTGGAGGCAGTTACCAGCCCGAGGTCACTGGTCACGCACACAGGGGACAGCAGGGCCCGACCCCGGGTCCCTCCACAGCCCTGCGTGGCGTGAGCTGGTAACAGCGTCAACTTACTCCATGTCTCTCTCCTTTGATACATTTTAGCACAGTTTAGTTAGCACAGTCGAAACACCACGTGTACACACGTAGTACATACGTTTACGTATAAATACACGTGAAAGATCGATTGGAGATCAACAGATTGTGCATACGCACGTGTGTCGCCAACACTCTCAGAACTGGCCGCTTGTGCACCGAACGAATACACGAGCTCATATGCTCCCTGTTTCTCCATCGTTCTTTCTCTCTCAACCCTCCGAACTGCTTGTTTTTTAACCTATTTATTCCTAAAAGGACCTACTCCCGTGGCGGTCCAAGAGAGAGGGTCACAGAAATTAAAGTTGCATTTCTTAAGCAATGAAGTTTGACCTGTTTCTCTAATTATAAAAAAAAAAAAAAAAAGTGCTAATTTACTGAATTGCTGTTCCTTCTGTAAGGAACAGAGCAGCACCTTCTTGTGATGCTCTGCTTGCGGTGGGGGGACACCCTCATGAAAAACAGAACTCTTAACTCACAGATGCCGGGTATCACGGACGTCACGCCGTGTGTTGTCTCTTCGGTAGGTGGTGATGGCCCTTCTCAAATACTGGCCAAAGACGCACAGTCCGAAAGAAGTCATGTTCTTAAATGAGTTAGAAGAGATCTTAGACGTAATCGAACCATCGGAATTTGTGAAGGTCATGGAACCCCTCTTCCGGCAGCTGGCCAAGTGTGTGTCCAGCCCACACTTCCAGGTACACAGGGCGGGGGGAAGGGCCTCATGTCCGCGTCCGCGTCGGAGGTGACAGGCTTTGGGGTATCGCAGGTCATACTTGGCTTCTCGTGTAATTGGGAGGTAAACTCCCAGCCTAGCTGTACTTCAAAATAAGATGCTAGGACCTTAATTCTGTCAAACGCACCCCAGCATCTCGACCCCCTCCCTGAAAACATGTTTCTCGCCAAGAGTGATTAGTCCTGGCCCCTCTGTGAACCTGTCTTTATGTTCAGTGTGCCCCAAATGCGTAAAACCCTGCCGTCCACAGCTGAGGGGTGGGCACTTGTAGGTGACATAAAACTCGGCCCCCACAAGCACTTTGTTTCCAACACACACACGTTCTGACTTTTGTCCCCCACCCAATCCTGTTTGAGGGGCACCCCAGTCACATCCTGCTTTCCTCGGCCCCTTGTGCAGCCTTCCGGGCCTCATTCTGAGGTCGTCCTCAGGGCCCGTGCTTAGCCTGTCTGCCTCCATTGGACATACTGGCCTGTATCACCAGCTCACCGTGAGCAAGGCGGCCCCACCCACATGCCCGCCCCCGTTCCCGTGCCCTTGCTCACTGGCTGTCCCCACTGGGCTCCTCCTGGCCCTCTTCCAGCCACCGCACCCCCCTCCCCGCACCACCTGACACCTGCCCTTCCTCCGTCAGGGCCCTCCTGGGGATGCATTCTGCCCCACACATGTCCCTTTCCTAGCTGCTGCGTGCCCCCCGACCTACCCCTTCTAGTAAATTCATTCTCCCCTCATTGGTCTTCCCCCCCCCCAGAACGGAAGCTCCACTCCCCCTGCTCACTGCTGACACCTCAGAGCCCCGCGCTGGGTAGGGGTGGGTGGAAGGCGTGAGGAAGGAAGGCGGTTGACCTGTGTCCTCAGTGGTAGCCCAGGGTCCGGTGTAAGTGTGTGTTGAGTGAGTGGAGGAAAGAGTGACCGTTTTCCTGCTGTACAAGAAGTCCTCTCCCTTTGGTTGAGGGCTCTTCAGGGTTACGGTCTGGAGCATTTGGGGTTTGTGGAGATGATTCTCTAACCCAGTGTAATTCATTGCCTGTTCACAGAGTCGTGGGGAGGGCATTGCTGGATGTTTGTCGCCATGGTCACAACAGCTGTGCCCTCCGTCTTCCAGGTGGCGGAGCGAGCGCTCTATTACTGGAACAATGAGTACATCATGAGTCTAATCAGCGACAACGCGGCCAAGATCCTTCCCATCATGTTCCCGTCCTTGTACCGCAACTCCAAGACCCACTGGAACAAGTGAGCGAGCTGGCTGCCGCCCGCGGGGCCCTGGAAAACTTTGCAAATCTTGCTGATGCCTCAGCCCAATTAAGTCCGAGATAGCAGTTAAAAACCAAAACGTAGATTTGTTTGTTTGTTTGTCTGTTGGGCTCACAGTGAAGTAGGAGCGGGACTGTATCTGTGGCCTTGTCTTCGCCTCCTCGCCCCCGTTTCACGCCAACACGGAGGCAGGTTTGTTGGGGCAGCGCCTTCCTGGCCTCGCCGTAGGGACCCGTCCCAAGGAGCTGAAGGCGGCCGCGAAGCCTCACGGGGCGCAGTCCCCGCGGGAGCACGGGGGCCACCCCGAGCCTCGGCCACACTCTCTGGGGACCCCTCCAAGAGAGCACGAGCCACCCGCCTGTGCAAGGGCCGAGCAGGGACTAGAAACACAACCTCGGGAGTCTCGGATTTGCTTCTCTCTCCCTCGTCCTGCCCCTTTAGCAAGGATAGAGACACTGGGCAGCGGTCTTCTGACACCTTGAAGGGAACAGTCGGTGCGGGTTCCCGACTGGTGCTCACGTCACTTACCGTTTACGTGACTACGGGCCCCAGGGCTTTGCTGTCGCCTCCTTCTCTCCTTTCGGCCCTTTTTCTATACGATAGTCATTCAGGCAGATCCGAAAGCAGGGGGCAGAGCCTCCACACCCAGTGCCGCCCCCTTGTTTACAGGCGAGGAGAGCAGGACTCGGGGCGGTGGCCGGTGGTGGTCGGGCCACACTCGCGAGCTGGCGGTCCGGCTCGCAGGGTCTCCCGCACACCCTCCCACCGTCCCGGCTCACGTCCTCGCCCCCTCTCGCTCGGCCACAGTTTCCTCATCTGAGAAATAGAGAATGTTGGCATCCGCCTCGGTGGTTTGTGTTGATTCATCAAGAAAATCCGTGCTCACGTGCAGAAAGCACTTGCAGCCACCGTCACCTCCTTGTGAAGTTCATGGAGGTGAGGCTGATAGATGTAGGGTCCCAGGCACCTAACCGGTATCCGGTGAACGTTCGCCGTGGGCACGCGGCTGTAGGGGTCGCAGCCCCAGCCGCCGGGTCCCGGGTGTGTACGGCCCAGCAGACCCCGCCTCAGTATATCGACTTTCAGCAACCTTTTCTATGTAACGTGCATTTCTCGTTGCGCTCAGCAGGTGACGGAGCGTAGCCCTCGTCCCTGTGTGTCATTTAGTGTGACAGGAGAGTCAGCAGTGACCGCTGACCGGCTGCAAAGCCCTGCCGGTTGCAAAGAAAGAAGGGTTATTTCAGGTGTTTCCAAATGCGAGTTGGGTATCATGAAGTGAGTTCAGAAGTAGCTGTGAATCCTGCAACAACCACAAAAGCAGCAGCAGCAGCAGCAGCAGCAGCCACGGTTCGAGGCTTAAGTTTTTCTGCCGTTGCTCACGACGCTGTGGGTTGACCAGGCTCTGCTGGGCAGTTCTTGCTTTGGGGAGGTTTTTTGGTCTTAATTTTTCTTTCTTTTAATTATTTTTGAGAGAGAGAGAAAGCACAAGCAGGGGAGGGGCAGAGAGAGAGGGAGACACAGACTCTGAAACAGGCTCCAGGCTCTGAGCTGCCAGCACAAGGCCCGATGTGGGGCTCGAACCCACAAACTGTGAGATCATGACCTGAGCCGAAGGAAGTCAGACACTTAACTAACAGCCACCCGGGTACCCCAGGGCAGTTCTGCTGACCTTACCGCGGTCCCCTTGTGGCTGTCGTCTGATGGCAAAGGGGGACTGGCGTCCTCTCCGGACCCCACTGGGTCTCAGAGCAGCGGGGCCTCCCCCCTCTCATGGGTGTCAGAGCCGGGAAGTTAAGTGCCATTAAGCTATCCTATGGTAATTTTATATTCTGTCTTCCAGAGCTCTGTTTTGGCATGATTAAAAACTTTTCTGTTCTTAATTAATAAGATTAAAAGGAAACTGACGTTTATGGGAAATAAAGGGTTTCCGTTATTGTCCCCAACACATCCCAGTGGGTTATAATTACGTATACATTCTCAAATGTTTGTTTCTAAGAGAGAAAGGGCGTGAGTGGGGGAGGGACAGAGAGAGAAAATCCAAGCAGGCCCCTGCTGCCAGCACAGAGCCCGACACGGGGCTCAAACTCACACACGGTGAGATCAGGACCTGAGCCGAGATGAAGAGTCGGACGCTTAACCGACGGAGCCACCTAGACGCTCCTGAACTGTATTTTTTCAAGTTTCAACATTCTTTTTTTTTTAATTTTTTTTTTCCAACGTTTATTTATTTTTGGGACAGAGAGAGACAGAGCATGAACGGGGGAGGGGCAGAGAGAGAGGGAGACACAGAATCGGAAACAGGCTCCAGGCTCTGAGCCATCAGCCCAGAGCCCGACGCGGGGCTCGAACCCACGGACCGCGAGATCGTGACCTGGCTGAAGTCGGACGCTTAACCGACTGCGCCACCCAGGCGCCCCTCAACATTTTTTTATTCTGTTTCCAAGGAAGGTGGTTTTTGGCCGCCGTCAGCCAGGACACCACACCGAGAGGCCTCGGGGCCGGCTGCTCCGTGAGGGGCCGAGTGGCCGCCGCACGGGCTGGGAGGCCTGGGAGCCGTCGGGCCGAGCGGGGAGGAGGAGGGCTGTGGCCGCGCAGGGCGAGGCGGGGAGGGGTGGACGGACAGGTGGCGTGTTCGAAGCCTGAACAGGAAGTTCTGCTTACAGGACAATACACGGCCTGATCTACAACGCACTGAAGCTCTTCATGGAGATGAACCAGAAACTGTTTGACGACTGTACCCAGCAGTTCAAAGCGGAGAAGCTGAAGTAAGTTGCCCCCTTCCAAAGCTGCTCCCTCGAGGACTTTTTCCTCGGTCCTGAATAGACCTCTTCCGTTGTTTGTCCGGAAAAGCTCATCAAGTCTCTAAAGCAAAGTCAAGTCTCTCATACTTGGAAAACAAATGAAAACGTGTCGTGTTAGCTCATCTGCAGAGAACTTCTCTGTCCCCCGTT